TGTTTCTTTGCCCGCACAGAAGTTCAGATCTGCTCCATTATCATTAATTTTGTTCTTTTATTTCCTCTGCGCGGGGTGAGCGGAGGAGTCAGGCTTCTTTGAGGTTTTCGCAAGCTGGCTCTGAGTGGCGGGAGGTGACCTGCAATTCTTCACCGAGTTTAGGGACGGGGGGGGGGGGGGGGGGGGGGGGGGGGCTCCCTGACTGTGCGCGGGTGGGGGGGGGGGACGACAGAGACCGAGCCCGCGTGTCGTATACTTGTGGAAACGTGGTGGAAAGTTCGGCGCGAATGTTGGCGATCTCCTAAAATAAAATTGAAAAAACAAAACAAAAGAAAAATCATGTTATCCAAACCAAACCCCCAGAATCAGGGTCCCAGGAACAAACCTCGGTCTGTGCCCTATCACGACAGACGATTCAACAAACTTTAGCTTCCACGCCGTTTCCTTAAATTAAAAAAAAAAAGAAATCCGTAAAAGCAAAGCCGGCGTGTCCACTCGCGAGCCAACGCGCGTGGACAGATGCAGGGATCCCGGGGGTCCTCAACTTCCCCTTCCTTCTGCAGAGTTTTCGGGGCGCTTCCAGAACCAGGGTGGTGAGTGGTCCCTCAGGTGGGGAGCCACGTGGTGGGGGCGCGCGTTGGGAATGGAGTGAGGTGGGGGGCATCCGCACCCTCGCTGCGCCCGGCTGCGCCCGGGAGGGCGGACTCTTTCTTAACCCTCACTGCCTCCTCCTCCCTCTTCCCTTTTTAAGCCAGAGGCGCGCGCAGAGCTGTCAGCCACCGGCGGCGGCGGCGAGACCTTCCTTGGTCGCTCCCGGGCCCCGATGACAGACCGGGGTGGGGGCTGAGTGGCAGGGGGTGGGAGGGGTGGGGAGCCCGCACGTGGGGCTCCAGTTCTTCCTTTGGGTTCCACTTGGGACCTGGTGACAGCCTTAAGTGGTCGTGGCGCGGCCCTGGTGGCGGCGGACTCGGGGCTCCCCTGGCTCCTGGAGCGCGATGAGCCGGGCGGAGGGCGGCCGCGGCG